CCTCTCTTTTCATTTCACTCTGACACCCACAGACTAGAGGGAAAGTCATGCTTACATTTTAATCCAGTAATTCGGCGTCCAAGCGCCAAGAAATGATGGCCAGTACCCCAAGATCTCACGTGCCTGAGAATGAGGTTCTCCCCCCTTTTTCCCCATCTGGAGGATGAGAGCTGATTACAGTTCACTTGCCTTTTACGCTTATCGTTCACGGGAGATTAATATCTACCGCTTTACTCAGCGGGAGTAGATGTTCCTGATCCCTTTCGTCTCACGGGTGTAGATGTATAAAATAAAAAAACCGATACCCGATCGCCTTCTTCCAGGATCATTGCTTGATTGGTCGATGTGTTGATTGTGTTATAGCTTAATCACTTAGCGGCGTGGTTTCCCTTTTATCCCCTTCTTGCGATCTTGGCCGCTGTACCTCTTTCCAATAAACCCCGATTTGTATCAGCCATGACCTACATAGTGTTGTGGTTCCCACCACCAGTAGAGGAGAACGCACGGAACCGTAACAGTACTTTGGCCGAAGGTAGGTATTTACAGTGTGCGTGGAAAAGTCACATACACAAGTATACTTCGAATATTTGTCCATATTTTGTTAATTTCAAAGGTGGCAACCCTACATGCGGCCCCGTGCCAGACTTCTGATCCGTAGCAGTTCGTGTGTCCTGTCACTGAGAGAATATCTGCTGGCATCTAGCAACGAAGTGTTCTAATTGAACCCTTAAACCCTTTCGCGAGCCAAAGAGTTCCTAGTTCAAGCTCTTGATATTCATTTTGGAGGGAGACGTAGCTGGCATTTCTTGCAAAGAACGCAGCAAGCACACAAATTTAAGTTACATGCTGTTTCAGAGGTCGTTGACAGACTTGAAGTATGAATGCCATAAAATAAATATTCCAGTCCAGAAATGAAATATTGATCGAATCCCTCTGCAGAAAAACCTTTAAAAACCCCCTCTCCTTTTGCCTCCGCTCAAACACAGGGTCACTTCACACACCTGCTTAACTGGGACGGTAAACCATGGTTACCGGGAAGCAGAAGAACTTTTCCCACCTCTGGTTGAAACAACTATTGATTTCATCAATTTATTTTATACTCTTCAGGAACTTGCATTCCTTGAAGCAAAGATGAATTCTGAGGCTTGTCTTGCAGACAAACGAATTGACATGGATTCTGCAACTAAGGAGTGAAGAACTCTCTACTCTATGCTGCCAGTCAATGTTTGCGCCATCAACTGCCCTAATGAAGACTTCATTAACTACTTAACTGGAGAGTTTCTACATGGGAATGATAGGTTGAGTGGGTAGTTTGCTTCATACAGCTCATGTATGCAATGGAGCTTCATTTAACTTTTTCCATTCAAGGGAAATAATGTTTCATGAATGTTTCACTGAATCACAGCCCTATATCTTCAAATCCCATGACAAATATACTCATTCGCACCACACAGGAGAATGGCTATGACGAGTATGCTCATCATACCCAGTTAAATGGTTAATGATCATGTGAATGGGGTATAGGTGTGCTTGGATTGAGACATGAATCAAATTTTTATTTTAAATGATTAAATTGCACAAGTCTTTGTTGTGTTTCATATCATTGGTAAAGGCCAATTTTGGATTACTTCAGGGCAATGGATGGTGGAACAGTACAGCCGAAGATGGAAAGAAAGTGTTCCATCTGCTGCAGCTTACTTAGATCACAGTGCCCTATGGTGACCTTGCTGAGGGTTCCATTTCAATGTATTACCCAACAGAAGATCATCAGAAGCTGCATTTTTGTAAGTTCCATATCTCTCATCCTAGTCAAGTAAATTGGCATTAAATAAATCCCATACCCTGCTGACCCAAATGAGTTCAGACATAATATTGCCACCTGACTCACCTTGTGCTACCCTGAAGATCTGTCAGCGTTTTGAAAGATGGGGGGGGGGGGAAATGTTACCAAATGGAAAGGTTTTTATAGATGCTAAAGCCATGTGAAATGGGATTGGGGCTAAGGAAATGACCTACTACATAAGTTTCATTCTGCAATGGAAATGTATCTGAAGCATTATTAGGCCTTCACTAAGCATACAGAAAAGTATGCTTAGTGAAATTAATTTAATAACAATATTTATAAATTTTCATTGATGATCTGCAACCCTTCAAACTGGGGTGGTTATTATGAATCACTTTGTATTGGACCCTTGCCCATTCTCCATGACAGCTTCATTTGGTGAAAAAGACTGTTTCTTTCCAGTTGTTATTAGACCAGAGCTGAGTCTAAGAGCATATGTCAGAAGTCTTTCAGCCATTGCCTATGAGCAATCCTTAAAGGTATGAAAAATTTTCAAACTTTTTTGTGTCCTGACGTTGTGGTAATTGACTGGAGAAAAGTAATGGAACAGTGGAGGGCTTTTCATGTGGTAGGTGATTAAAGGAATTACATGGGGGGGGGGGGTTCCTGTGCAATATTTATTTCAGTTTAAGTTGTCTGCTGTGATTATTTATTTCACTACACTGAGTTCTCTCATGCTGACTATAGATGACAGGAGGAGCCTCTTGAAAGGGAGAGTCCTACAAAGAATGTCATCATTCAAAGTCTTTTCATCATTTTAACTTTTCTGCTCTATAAGTTCCCTCATTCTAACTAATTTGATTTAGTCAATATCTATGCTCTCCGCTATTATGCCAACTCACCAGAGGAGTGTGATCTCTATACCATTGTCATAAGGAAGTAGAGGATTTTCTATTCTGAACCTATCATGCAAAAATATTTCAAATAGGAAGTTGTTTGGCAAAATAATGTTTTGCTAGAATTTGTTATATAAGTGAAGCTGCATTGCATAAAATATCTACTGAATATCCCTAATTTAGATGCCTTCAAGGAACATTGTGGTAGGGAACTGGTGTAAAAATGACAAGAGCATCTTTCTGGGAAGGATTCACTTCATATTAGAGAAGCAAAATGAGGAATCATGCTCTTCATGGACCTGTTGGCTAACCATGGAAGAGATTAGTTATATCTGGACTGGTGGCTGGAAAATTTAATATTTTCAGCAAGTAAAAGTATTTCATATTTTCATTCCTCATCAAAGTTATCCAATACTTGGAATGAGAATCTGTTCTTGTGTGAACCATTTGCATGACCAAGGTTTTGCTGTGTTGGCTGCATGCTAATTTTCATTCCATCCTTCACTAAAATTGAGAAAAATACTAGAAGCAGCTTGATTTTGATACCTTTCTAATTAGTTAGCGTTTTCCATGTGTCAGTCTCAGACTTTCCTATTAGTCAGAAAGTCAGTCTTCTGTAGAATAATTCAAAAAGTATGTGAGTAGAGCTGTGCACCAGCATTCCATTGCCCTTCGTGATCGCTTTGGTCCTTTGCAGTCTCTTTATTTTTTTTTTATTAGTAACAGTTGAGCTTAGACTTTCAGACTCAGTTGGGCTAGACTCTTCCATGGTCAGTCAGTTTGCTTTGGCCTGCTTCACGCCTTCAAGGATGAAAGTTTTTTTTCGTGAATAGAAAAATGTGCATTCAGCTCATTCCTTTTCTGCCTCATGCACAGCTGAGGCAGTGTAAGTGTTGATGCATAGCACAATGAGAAGATTCCATTCTGCTAAACCTTCTACTTCATGCATGCAGATTCCTGAATTCTCAGACCCTCTCCATGCTTCTGACATCGTGTTCTGTTATTTTTGTTTCCGTCAACCACTTTGTAATTGGATGGTTCACCTTCATGCTGTGACTAGTACAATTAGTACTTCAAATTTTTGGAAGCAGAAACTTTTCTGTTGTCATGTTTCCCTCTTCCACAATGTGAGATCAAGAAGCTTATCTAATTCGATCATGTTTTATTTACTTTTCCGCTTATGTTATCGTTCCTGAGGTTCTCTTTTATCTCTTCTTCTGACTTCCCCACCCGTATTCATCAATTCAGGGTTGCCGTATGAACTAATCTTCATCTAATCCTTCATTATGTACTGGGGTGAGTGAGTAAGCTCCTTATCTTTATTTTTATTTGCCTACTATACAGGGTGCAACAGAATTGCACTTTCACATGCAGATGATGTGCACCTCTATTTATTATTTAAAAAAATACGCTCACCGGCGACTTCATTCCCGGACTACGTGAACCGGGCGATATTTTTAAGATTAACGATTGTACGATTGAAAACCGAATCATTATATTTTCCTGACCCACTTCTGTCTTTATTCCTTTGGTTTATGTTCCCGGGAACATCCATTCAACGGTGTCACACGGATAAAATCCCAAATTGACATTTTTATTCAGTCTCGCGCGGAAAGCTGGGAATACGATGTGTGATGATAGCAGGATACTGTATCTAACGTCTCCGTGATGTCCCACAATTGCTCATCGGAATTCGTGGGAACAAACTTATCAAGGCAAATCGGTAGAGTGGAAATACATTGAGGGCTTTTTGAGTGGCAGTCCTCATATGATATGAACGGAACGCGAGCATTTTATTACTCTTGACATATTTTTTTTCCCCCTGCCACTTTGATACGGAGAAGAGGGAGATATGAACATTTTTTTTTCTTCATCGGTTCTCTTAACTTCTGTTTACTCGAACATGTGAGGGAGAAACAATACCCTCTTTCAGGGGTGGTTATACTCCATCCGTACTTAAAAAATACGGGCGAGAATAGTCCAAAGTCTCGGTTGCGTCCGTTATGTTGGAAGTTTCGGATTTTTATATTGGCTCTATGTTTATGCTGGAACTTCTTGTTCATACGTTGAGTTTGGCTGCGTCTGGTTTGGTAGTGCCCTTCCTTTCAGATTATTTTTTTAATTCTCAGCTCCAGCTCCCGAGTTTGTCACCTTCAAAATTGTCTTGTTTGTGTTCGCTTAGAACTTGTCATTGAAGTCCTTTACTTGTATTCTTTCGCAAATATTAAAGGATACCGATCACTTGTGAGATGGCCTTATAACTCAAGTTCGTTCTCGTAAATGACGTACATTACCAACTCCTTGTCATTGACTCAATTGGGAACAATCAACTTTTTATTTCAATCACCAAAAAAAGTATTTTTAATATAAAAAAGAAAGGCATATAGAAGAACTTGTATTGGAATCGCATGGTTGGAAGAGAGAAGACGAAGGATGGCGGCGGGGACGGTTGGATTTCCAAAATCACCATAAACCATAAAGCACACTAAATTGACATCACAAGGCAATTGACATCTCGTAACAGAGTAAGGAACCTTCACTCGGATGATTGGATTTGGCCTATATACACTCCAAAAATCCTCACTCATTCTTGGGAGAGAATATAAAAAAAACTGCACAGAAGAATGTTTATGGGTAGTAGAATTGAGTGGAGTCAGTCTGTGGGTGACCATCGACCTCCTTGGCCGCACCCCTTGGCAACCTGAAAGCACCCCACTATGGCCCTGTAAACAAGAAGAAATATTTTTTATTCTCAACCTTTCTCTCAATATGAGATGAAGTTCTTTTAATTTAAATTAATATTAATATTAATTCATTTCAATTCATTCATTCAACTCAGCCAGGCATCATCCAAGACATCCATTCACCACTTAGAAACAACTGGACATAGAACCTGTGATTTTTTTATTATAAATCCCTTTATATGTGGTTCCCATTAGCTGAACAAGAACATTTTTGATCATTGGAAGATTGCAGGGAAACTTGGAAAATTCAGGGCTATGGTAAGAATTTGGAAGATTAGTTTCATCTTAGCAAACTCTGTTCATTTGAAAGGATATTTTTCTCATAATGCTGACAATAGTTGCTCAACTATGCAGCAAGTCTTATGCATATGTAGTCTGTGGGTGGCATGAGATGAAGCATTTTGAGAAAACAATATCTTTTCATCCTGAGATGGCAGAATTTTCCCATTGTTTGGGAAAAGGAGTGGGTGGTAGGTTGAATTTTTGTCCATGGTGCAAAATCAACTTTGAGATATGATTACCACCTTATGTAGAATTTTTTAAAAAGTAAATCCCTAAAGGCTTAAAGTCCTTACTGTAGAAACTTCCTGCCTTAGGCATAATCATATTTGCTGAATGAAAGTTTGTCTTGGAGCCAGGTGGGATGTGTCACTCACTTACCAGTGGTTGTTGAGACATCGAAGTGGATACGTATCACAGGAGGTGGGGAGGAAGAAAGAGGGAAGGAAGAATTCTAGGTTTCAATGCACTGCTGGATCCGGGATTCCCACTGGGCAATCAAGGCACTCTTCTTCCGTCCCCTACCCACTCCAACTGAATTCTGCAAATAATTTCAATAAATCGGTTGCATCATCACAATGTCATTTCACAAGTTTGGGACAAAAGCTTCTTTTTTCACATAGTTCCTGATGACCCCATGTTGGTGTCAATAATTATCGCATGCAGCAGTTTTTATCAAATGATAACTGTTTAAAAATTGATGCTCCTAAAAACAAAACTTGAAGCAAAAATTTAGAAATTGCCTGGCATGTAACAAATTGAATGTGAATCACTCCCCAGGTTCTCTCTTCAATAGGTAGCAATTGATGCATCCATTTAGTGGGTTCAAATCTATATGTTTATTCATCTCCCAATAGCATTTTACCTTTACAACATTAAAGCAAAAGCAACAAGTTGAAAACTGCCTCAATTCAAAACCTCAAAGTCAGCACTTTCTACCAAATATAACATTCAAAGTTATATGCATGACTTGTGGTTTTTCTTTCTGCATGATGGAAATTTCATTGTTACCTGAGTGGCATGAGAAGTGTCAGAAGCAGCAGACATGGCATCATCATCAAGAAGATTTGGGTTGGAGGCACATCTTTCCCTCAAGCCGGTCAATGTCGGCTGATCATCATCATCTACATCCTCCTCTCTCGCTTCTTCCAAGCTCAATGTAGCCAGGAGGTTTGGCTGAGATACAGCCAGTGCTCTCATCCTTTGCTTCCTGCACACATCACAAATATCCAGTGTCTGAATTTCAAAACTGTTTCATACAGGAGCAAAAATACTATTAGGTGATCTCAATTTTATTAACTATTCAAACAGGGTGAACTTAAAGCATGGAAGAAAAATCATTTACAGACTCACTTAAATCTTACATTAATGTCTTTCTTTGCCACATCTGATAACTAACATGAAACATAATTCCTGGTAGATTACAATAGATGAAACAGTAAATACAACTTCAATGAATGAAATCTCTTGAAATGTAATTTTGTTCCAAGCATCAATGGCAAACTGAAAATAGACATGCATGTACTTGCTCATTTGAGTACTCCATGATGAGGCTTGTGTACTTGAGGTTTTAAGAGTTGACCTCTTGAAAGACACTGTCCTACTAAACATTTATACAAGGAGGAAATATGAAATATCTGCTCGCTAATAAAAAATACCTAAGTTCCTGTTCCCTCAACTTCATTTCTTTTAGTTCCAGTTGGATCTTTTCCTCGGCAGTGGCAAATTTGCGGTGGAAAGCCTTCGGCGTGGACGAAGGACTGGAACCATTCGAAAGCGTCTTGTTGTTGTTGTTATTGCTGTTGCTGTTGCTGTTGATGTTGGCTTGAAGTTGCGAGATGTGAGTGTGATTGAGTTCCAGACGTAGTGGATCCGGGAGCACTGACGTGCTGAGGCTTCGTCCCTTGCCTCCGGCCCCCATTGAATTGGGGCCAAAGGTGGGGAGAACCCCCGAGACCTTCCCCCGGGATGCGAGGAACTTTTCCATGATCCCCTTGGGTGCCGTGGGGGACACGACCATCCGTCTCAAAGCGGGTGCCACTGGCGCCGTCTTTGCCTTCTCGGACGACCTTGGGTTTTTGCTATAGTTCCCCTTAGTGGCCGAGGGGAATCCCTTGGGTCTATCCACGTGTCCGTTCGTCAGCCCGTTCCTTGTCTTCGTCGCCTCGTGCAGCCTTGTCACCTGTAAACCATTGCAGTCATAGATTTTGAAACTATCGTATGCAGTTTTCCATTAAGCTGCAATTTGCTGCACCGGAAGCGCCAATGGCTCAGTGGGTCAGAACGTACTCGACATTGACATAACCCGATTTCATCTTTTCTTCTATATTGAAAATAAATTATTCGTGTTCACCCATTGAACCGTTCATGAGATGAAAAGAAGCAGCCTTGATGCAGTCTCACTCTGCGAGACCATGCATGATTAAAGGCCGTGATTGATGGACTCTCCTTTCTCGCAAGTACCACTTTCGTAAGGCACGATTGCGCATACCTAATGTATCAGAAAAAAGCTTATCCAGTCACCCTCAACAGATAATATCTCTTTTTCAAACTAAGAATTCCGTGCTGCAATCCCACCGAACCATTAGCAAGCTCTCCATATCATCTTTGCTTCATTGTGCAATATGTGTCTCTCGCCAGGACGGCGAGGGGAAGGAGGATCAATCCTTCGCAGCTCAAGCGCTTCCTCCACTTAAATAAAAGAATCGTATTGCTGAATTTTTTAGAACGAATTTCTACTCCCATAAAGTCACGTTCACGCTTAGACAACAACCAAAGGCTTAAGTCCGTAATGAGTATCAATCCAGTACTTTTGAAGATCTGGAAATCTGTGTTGGGAGTCTTTCGGCAACCGAATTATATAAGTCAAACTGGGACAAAAATCACAGGGCCGAATTCGACGTTCTGAGAAATTTGGCTTCATCTCGCTTAGGGGAGCGATTGCTAAGGTTCATCTCAAATATTACTTTAAACTAGAGTAAACAAAATGCCAAGTGTTTTTGTCAAACAGATCGACAGAACAAAAAAGATTAATTAATAATATTAATAGACAATAAACATACCCCGACGAATCGAACCAACTGCGTTTTTTTGAGATGTCGCAAGTATCGAACCACCAACAAATTCCCTCATTGAGCATTATATTAATCGGAATTCGGCAAGTAAAGCAATATTTACATGATCACGGTACAGTAGTTTCTGGGGACTTGAGTTAAAGTCTTTAGTACTGGGATTTAAAAAAAAAAGGTTTCCTATGGAGTATTAATCCACGCTGAACAATTCTAACATGATCTGTCCGAGAAGCACTACAAAGCTTTTCATACGCTGTAGCGACTGAAACAACCGCAGTTTCCTTTTAACCCTTTCCACTCCTTTGTCGAGCTGGGCTCGCCATCAGTCATAGTGTTGCGGAAAAAACGGAGAGAGAAAGGATTAAAAGAGAAATTAGTTTGAACTTAAGAAAATCACCTTGTGAGGAAAACCATAAATCGTGCAAGTCTTATATCGCTCAATATTTTAACACGCGAAAATGGTTCAATTGCCTCTATACATATGTAATTATGTGAAATTGTCTCTGTGGCACTGACATTCAAACCTGACTGGAGCAGATCATGCTCATAATTTGATGGAAATCTCTGCCCATATACAAGAACTTGCATAAAGACGATATTAGCACTTTGGGATTAAATTTTGAGAGTTTCTTTCCACTGAATACCAATTAGGACTGACGGGCTTTTTTTCTACCTGGAAAAAAAAAAAGACAACCCAGCTATCTGTCGGCCTTTCTTTCTAACGGGTTAAGTCTATCTACATCACGCAAAACGCATCGTCACACGTTTGTCAAGATGTAAGCTCAAAAATGCCACTGTCCGGCTTTCGAATGAGTCACGAATGGAACTGCTTCCGCAGTTTCAGATAATGAGTCATGTCTATTCGTCCGTGGTTTATACTTCGCAGATGATTCCAACTCCCCGAGGCCTTGCTTTAACTTTCAATAACTCGCTTCAGTTGAGTTAGGTGAGTACTTTCTAATTAAAAACAAATACCTTGGCATCGACCCTTTCCTCCGAGAGTGTCTGGATGCAACCCTCTTCCCTCAAGCGCCTCTCCCGCTCGATCTGTTCCTCGATCTCTTGCTGAATTTTGCTACTGGTGACATCTCGCACCGGCTTGGCTCCCCCGCTCTTCGCAGTAGAGCTCAATTTCCCATCCTGAAAGAGCGCGTTATCGAAGATTCGATTAAAGCAAGATAACGACCGAGTCTTCGAGCCGCTTCGAGCGCGAAAGTGCAGACCTCTTGGGAAACGATTTTGCCCGGAAGGGCCCGAACGTGTCCATTTTCCAAGGGCTTATGGTGCCCGTTCACGACGGGGGCGGTCTTCGTCTGGGCCTTATTCGACGACGCAGGCGAGACGGATGAAGGCGAAAGACCTCGCTGACGACGAAGCTCATCTTCCCGATCCTTCGCCAGGCGGATCTCCCGCTCGAGCGGAGTCTCCTTCAGCACCCTGCAAGGACAAAAATAACACGATTGAAGGATCTAAATCAATGTCTCCTTTGCCTTGATAGGCTGCACTTGACCCTGGAGAAGAAGACCTCCTTCATCCGGTAGACCTTGGGAAGCCCCGCATGCAGCTGATAATATCAATCCTTTCCGTTATTTTTCCCACATCTCGTCTTTCTGGCGGCCGTCCAGAACTTGTACGGTATCCTGGATACCACTCCCTATCCTCAATTCATTCATAAATCGAGAGGGTACGACAGAGGCCGGAAGCGAGAAAGGAAAATGTGGGTGAGACCGGAAACATCGTCTTTGAATACCCCCTCCCTGTGAATCAGTTCCTTTTCCAGGAACGACCCCACAGAACTTGTATTGGACCCTTGGACGGATCCGGATTCCTTTCATCGAGTTGCCCAACTCATCCTAACAAAGGAAATGAAATATTAAAAAAAAAGCAGCTTACTTGTACGATGGTGAATCATCATCGTCGTCTTCTGCCAGAGGCTTCACAGTCACCTTCCTTCTCGAATAGAAATCCGCGTAAGTGGAAGCCAATCCATTGCCGATCTGGTTAGTCTGATGATTATTCGTCCCTCCGCTGCTGTGGCCGGAACTGACGGAGTCCAGGGAATGAGTCCTCTGATGGGAGAATCCCACGAAGTCCGGACTCGTCAACCTGGAATCATCGTCCATCGTGCTTTCACTATATTCCGTTGTACCTTCCATCCGATAGGAAAGTACTGATATGAACATCGGGACGACATACAGGCCCTATTCCCCCACCCTGTAAATCAACAATCTCCCTGGAGATAATGTACCAAGGATGCTCGTCTGCAGGACGTAAGTGTGTCGCTTGCCATAGTAACCACACGATATCGCTCTTTATATCGTAGTTGCGCACCATCGTAGCACAATTTATCTGCCCTATTTGATGATCATTGCATCCCCCGTTGGTGCAATAAATCCATTTTTTAACGGAAACTCCATAAACCCAAAGGAATGTGAGATATCCAAATGAATGGAATGACACGTACCCAGAGCGGAAATACCTCATGGTGCAACCTGCAGGAGCTTCACTGCGGTGTGCGAACCGAATGGGCCACGGAATCCGAATGACACAAAAAGCGAGACAAAGGCAGGAGGTGCTCACGCGCGAAGGTGGGACCGAGAAGCGACTGGTAAAATCCCCCTTAGGCTCGTAGCTAAGGGTTGGCTTCAGCCTTGCCTTGCGTCTCTTACGTCATACCGTACTGTATATCTGTTCCATTAGTGCGTCAGTTCCCTCGCTGTACTCTCTGCACGGTTGATGGAGGGGTAGCATCAACATATACGCCATATGTGAACATAATGATCACGATGCGCCATATGCATCACAAGGTCATTAACCACTTACAATGAGAAGTGCGATGATATTGAACAGAAAATTGAATTGAGTTTTCTTTTCTTCCATTGTGAAACCCTGCGCGTCATTCAACCATAGGTGGGCTGTCAACTCTAACCTACATAATGTTCTCTCCAAGACGGCGGCGATAAAATGTCACTTTCAGAGGGGTACTTTCCCTCTCACAGTACTTTCTCGTTTCTCAGCCAGATTCCTAACACTTGGACGATCAATGTCAACGAAGGCATATATTTCATGCGGTGTCACGAGAGTTTCTATCGAGGTCAGGACGCGAGCGACGGTTGCAAAGCGGAAGCCGCGGTGAATTTTTGCACGAGCAGTCAGGCACGTAAATGCAATTTCGCAACGACTATAGCCACAATTAGAAACACGACAAAGGAAAAAAGGGTAGTTGCGCTCACGAACGTAGAAGGAAAAACCTGACCAGAAAAAAAGTCATGTTTTTGTTGCGGTTCTCGAGGAAAGTCGACGGTTTCCATCCACGACGGCCAGAAGAGAACTTAAGGACATGTGGATCCCATGCGAACAATGAATCGCTTTTCCACAATCACTGCGATGGGAGAAATTCATTAATAGAAGCGAGAAAACCGCGCGCTGGTTTTGTTTTCACTCCAAATAGAAAGCTAGGTTAAATGTCGGATGGGATAAAAAATTAAAGTGCCACGTGTGATGATGGAGAGGCCTCTTTCCCTGAATCCATAAAAAGTGGGTCTCACGCACGCATGATTTACACTTCTTAAGTCTCATTCCCTCCCTCGAGAACAAGGGTACCTTCCCTCATTCTAAGTTCTCCTTTGTGAGGTCTGAAAGGAAATCAATTCTCGAGTTCGCCGGTGAAAGAGAAGCAAATGAGGTTTCTCACCTGCTGGATCCTCCAGTGCTGTGGTCCTTGTTCTCTTCGCTCCCGTACTCAGAATAGTTCCCTTCGTCCGTGGACGACGTGTGAAGGCTTGCGTCCGCCAACAGGTTTTCCCTCGAGCCGCTCTCATAGCGGGCCCTCATGTTCCTCAGTTCGTCTTCTCGTTCCTTCAATTCCCGGATCTCCAAGGCGATTTTGGCCTCTGTGGAGGCGTGGAAATCGAAGTAAGTCGACGGGACGTCTTCGGGTTCCACGATGGGTTCCACGATTCGCTTCAGCGGCACGTCTTCGGTAGCCCCCACTGCAGACGCTGCGGTGGGATCGAATTCCTCGAATTCCGCTCCTTCTTCGTAGCCCTCTTCTTCGTCGTCGGTCAGACGCTGAATATCCTTCAATGTCTTCAACGTCCCTTCCTGGCGCATCTCGGCCTCCCTCTGCTGCTGTTCGCGGATCTCCTGTTCGATTATGTTCACGTGCTTCACGTTGCTCACGTTCGGATCCTCGCCGAATACGTAAGGCTTCGGGGGTCCAGCGTTGGCATCGACGACAGACGGGCGGAACTTGGGGAATCCCGACACTTCCTCGTCCTCCACAATCTCTCCTGGCTCGTCTTCGTCCTCCGCCCTGAACGCGGGCGGGGGAGAAAGCGGAGATTCCATCATCCCTCCCGCACTTGCTGGGCGGTCCGGGTCCAACAACAGGCTTCGGATGATGGAGTTCTTTTGGTTCTCGGTCGCTTCCAACAGCTTCGCCTCCCAGTAGGATTTCGTCACTTCCTTGTTGGCCAAGATCGACGCACTGTCAACCTCGCCTGTCGGGACACCAAAAATAGGAAAAATTTAGACATCGAAAATTGCTTCGATCGAGTACGATGTTTACACGAGCTAGCAGTCCATCGGACTGACGCAGCTCGAGGACTTCTTTGCGGTCTGGGATGGGAATTCCATCAAGGGAAGACCAATCATACAAATTATAAACGTTTGAAAGGGTTTGTCTTTATCGCCTCGGGTTTTGTCGAAACGTTTTCCCATCCCATGCCCTGGGATTTTCATTGAAGGAATCAAACGCCTCAAGGAGAGAAATAATAAGGGAGGAAAAGATCTCTACGAAGAAGACAAAATCGCCTTGATGGATGACGGCTAAGAAGAGAAGAAGGCTTCTCGGCAGGGAAAAACCGCAAAAATCCCCAGCCTCGATGTAATAGGTATAAGGGGAGGAGCAGAGAGACGAGAGACGATACCGGAACGAATGGAAGGTCGTTCCCAGAAGAAAAAGTTCAGGAATTCCGTGAAGAAAGGCAATGACTTCAGCCAAGGCCCATCTAGAGCACTTCTTGCGCAAGGGCTGCTTCACGCCCTTGACATTCTTTTTTAGGATAAAGAAATAAATTGGCTGAGATTCTAGTGTGCTTGGAGGATCGTTCACGTTCGTCAGGGCTCTTCCGCCATGTCGAAATGGGGCGTTTGCGGTTTCTATCAATGGTTTCGAACTTTTCTTAAAACCGCTCTCACGAACACGTTATTGCCTTCTGTCCTCACAGGGTCACATATCCATTTAAATGTCCACAGGATCCTACCTTGAAAGGGATTACTGACAGCAATAACCAGAGAGATCAATAATAGAGAGAAGGAGTTGATGACGACATTAAGCTGGTCTCTTACCAGAAGCCATTTACCGAGCTCAGTCCGACCACAACCATCACAGTCGAGATACAGACCTGCACTAATGGCAGAGAGGTGGGACACAGGTTAAAACTCGCGTGAATGCATTCACCATGGCTCTGGCGATTTCCGCTTCGTTTGATGCAAAATGAAGTCATTCCATTCAACACCCGAGGTTTAATGAAATTCTTGGCACGGACCTCGGCCGTGATCTCGATTATTCCCACGGACAACGACAAAAAAAATTCTCGCGATATCGAGCACGGGTGATATCGTTCCAAGCTAAAGCTACACTTTACAGTTACCTTTTCGCGAATGAAAGGAGGGGAAGAAGCGAGGCATGACGTGGACACGGGCACGGAGGAGATCCAGAGATACACTGAAGGTTTTTTCCTTGACGGCCGACTATACAAGCCAAAGCGTGAGAAAATATCCACCTGCACTCACCTATCTCTCGCTTGAAAACTCGAACTCCACCCAATGACGCGCACCGTTTCCTTCTTCCGAAAAAAAAAATTAATAAACTAATTCGTGACCAGAAAAGCATGCCCAGGTTCCCTACAAAGTTTTCCCAGTGGAAATGAAAATTCGAGTACTCTTTCACAGCCATTTCATCATAGTACCGGCTCAATACCGATGCACTGCGATAGCGATGTGTGATACCCGTGCGATACCGATATGACACAAACATTCGATAGGTGTTGCGAAAACTGTTAGATTTCGTTGTCAGGTAGCATTGAAAAAAAACCTTAGCCATGCGCCGTTTGCATCAAGTTCAAACTCCAAGAAGGCAGCCACCTTTGACAGCAAATCCGATTTGGAGTATTGACGTTGCGTGCAAGAGAATTTCATATAATTCGATAATCTGAAAATTGCTTTGGTTCTCACAAGAATGCTCATCATGATTATGAGGAGCATATATTCTGTCCTAAAGGGTTTTACTACACTGCAAGTAGTTTGGTAGGATCGTGCCCCTGACAAGACTCCTACGACTTGCCGGTCCATTTGGCCTCCTTAGCTATCCTTCGCTTTTTTCAGTATTCTCTTCTCATTTTCTCTCAATAGTCCGGGCTCGTGCTGGCCGTAGGTCTGGCTTGATCGGCATGATTCTCTCACTATTCTGTCCTATAGGACAGAAGCAATATGAGGCCTATAATTTATTTGTTCAACTTACTGCTTTTAATTTTCATTAGTTTTCCCGAAGCGCATCATTCTCAAGTTACCCGATTGCAACAGGGATAAACTCAATAGTTGCAGATTGCATATCAGAGAGAAACGAGAGGAACGCTATAAGCTTTTTATAACACCGACTCGCAAATAGACCCGCCCAGAAAGGCAAGGGCAATTTTGGGCGATACTATGCAAGGGACCGTACAGGATGTCGGCAGTCACGAGGATTCCAATGCGGGAAACCAAATAGGAGCAGGCTTCCTCATTCAATCAGGGCTACTCCATGCATAGGACCGTACAGGATGTCAGTAGTCACAGTGCTCCCAATGTGGGGAAACATAAGCTTCATCGGACAATCAGGGGTATACGATGCAAAGGGTCGTACAGGATGTGAGAAGTCCCAGGAATTTCAATGTGGGAACAACCATTCAATTCGATCCGAATCGGGAGTTTCCCAAGTGGCCTTTCCTCTTTCAGTCGAACGTACCCCCGTTGAGAAATCCCATGGATCTTGTGTCCTAATTTTCCGGCCGTGCTCTTAAATAAAAACAAGGCAGGTAATGATCCCGACAGTTCGAGTTGAAGAATGAGGCCACTTTCATCTCCAAACCAAAGACAAGCGAAACGAATCCCCCCCGCACGATATATCCCCTCATAAAAGATGAAGCAGATCGGGGAGGGGGTCGGATTAGTGCCGGTCGGGAAAAATGATCCGAATCGACCCACATCACAGGTTGCTTACGGCCGTCTCTGGGTCGATATGGTCCTCTATAATAAAGGGCTGATTAAAGACACACACGGGAATAAGGGGTTAGAAACACAATGGCGTTTGCGTGAATGACCCCTCACGGGGGATTGTGCAGTCGACTCACGTGAGATGCACTCAAACAAGTCCTAAGTCCTTGGAAATAATAGGGTAATGAAAGAGGGGAAGGATAAAAGACAAAGAAGTGGTTCAAATTTTCCTCCCCCCCCCCCCTTACTTTTTTTTAATGAATAAAAAAGCCTCACGCCTCATTCACTGTACTGCCCGCATTTCAAAACCCCTAGACACATCTTAGAAATCAGGCCACGTCCTTATGGCTCCGAGGTTTTTTCCTTCTGGTCAGGAAAATCCCCGAAAAGTTCATGAATAATTTATCCAGAGTCTCTGCGGCTCGCACATCTGCCGAACGGAAGCGACAACTTCGCGTCACGGAGACACGAAAACACCGCGAAGGACGTCAACCTGGCCTTCGATGTAATACATCTTCGGGCCCGTTACCGACCGGATAGTCGGCAAAGAGAAGTCTTTTCTCTGGGATTCAACCGAGGGTAATCGATTAGTTATCGGGAATCCGGTCAAACAAAGCAAGCTCATAGACCCCCTGCGTTTAACCGAGCCTGACCCTTCATAATTGGCCACGAACTCCAGACGACGGTGAACGAGACTCTTTATTCATTCCGCCACAGACGTATTATTAAAACCATGGGAAAGGCTTGTAAATAGAAGTGGGTTTTACTGGGACTCCCATCGACCGAGTTCGTTCTTAACCATTAACGACTCTTTCCAATAAACTCCCTCCCTCCCGGCTCCGACCGACGAAGCTCTAGTTACCCTAGCTTACCTCCACCCGGCGCAGCTGAAGCATTAAAGGTGACGCATGGAGAGGAATGACGAGACACAGAATGAAACCGGGGTATCATGGACTGCAGCCTGCCCACGTTAACGGACGAAACCAGCCTTCCGGAACGGTCAAACCGGACCCTCTCCTTATTGTACGGCACCAGTATTACCTGGCCATAAAATGACTGGGAGACGGCGAGGTAAAAGACCCTTTTCCTGCCACTACCGCACGTACACTTTTCCTCTAACTATGCTGCGAAAGAGGATTCCAGGGCCAACGTCTGCGTCTTAATAATGAGACCAAATGCCTGACGTGCGTGAAAATACCCCCGCTATTTACTTTCGCACGATAGAAAGGGGCATGCAAAATCCAAACACGACAACCGGGAGAGAAGTGGGACGCTTCACGGCGGATCATCAGACACACCCCACATATAAACAAACGCTCATCGCGACTGGAAGGGTGGAGGCAAGTAAACGCATGGCAGAAGCAGGCCTTTTCGCGAGAAGAGACGGACTCACCCGTGGACATTGAATGTCACCGACCTCGACACCGAGAGGAGAAAAAATCCACAAGTCCGACTCCCTGCGTGCGTCTCTCACGACTTGAATCGAGCAAACGACATCGGGACTCGAGTAGCTTTTTTTTCCTCCAACGTGGGAATGAGGAAGGATCTCTCCAAACGAGAACCCTTAATTAAAACTACAAAGCCAGAGCTTATCTAGCCATTCCCACGCTTAACGAGACGAAGGAAAAGTGAGTCTTTGGAAAGTGTCATCGAAACGATACGACGGATAATGGCCTCTGTCCGGAACTGACGGAAGCAGTCTCATTCGGATCGACCCGAATGTTCCCCTTTCTCTAGGGTTGCGGAGTCGCACGGAAACCGCTTCGAACAAATCCGCGGCTCGGTGTTACGGTCGTAAAAGATCCCCCGAGGGAAGAATTATCGTCGCGGCGCGAAAATTGCTCCAATCCGGCGGAATGACAAGGAGGAAACACAATGACCTCCAAACGAAACCGTCAGCCATTACAGTCGGGCCAAGGTCCCCCCCGAGTATCTCGGTCGAAGTCGTAAATCGGATCGACTTGGGACCGGTTCACACTCCGGACGATGCCATGCGTCAAAACAGTCGAAAAGATAACTCCTCGAAGGCGCAATCGAGTTTCCGCACCACTGCCCAGTTGAACAAAAAAAAAAGACACGGCAGCCTATGAACAGGAATAATTGGCTGGAGAGAAGAGAATGCTCGTGTGAGAGAGGAAACTCACTGGACCAGGATATCCAGGCCTGAGACGCGGTCATGCTGGGTGCAATAACACAGAAGTCAAGGCCTGCACGGGAAAAACTGCCTCTTACACAAGAAACTGCCTTCGGCTGGCTGCCTCACTGACTGACTGCCTTTTCATGCCGACGACCTTCAGGATCATCGGGACGGATCAGTCGGCAGTTCTTACGTCACTGGAGCAGAGGAAACGAAGATATATAAACAAGGCGAGATGATGAAGGCACTCGGAACTGCGAAGAATGGGGTTTCCTGCCGGTAATCGTCCGAGCAAGACCCTCTGATGGCCGGATATGAGCCCAAAAACCATGGCCATGACCCGCAAGAAGAAACCTCCGACCCGTCGCGCTTCAGAGGAATTTTAACAGACAACAACAAAAAAATCCAACCTCACAGGCCAGTTCAAAGCCCGATAATGAGCACACTGCGACCGAAAAGAAACCTCGCCTGCTATTAGAGTTGAAGCCGAAATGAGTTAATTTGCCTTCATGCATATTCGAAATACCACACGCGAGTCTCGATTGCTTTCGTTTCCGATACCCAGAACCGGCTTGCGAGGGTGTTAACAGATAAAAATAAAACGATTTGAGCATGATTTCCCGCAGCCATCGTCACGCGAGCCTCAACCACCCATGAAACGACTGTTGTAATTTAGCGACAAAAAAATAAAAGTGAGTGATATACGACCTCTAACGTGCAGATACATAAGGCCCGACGATTGTTTGACAGATTCTCCCGCCGATCTGCCCATCCATCACTCACGTTTGAACGTCAAGCCGGTCGCATCGGGGGCAAATATTAAAGAAGCCCCCTGGAAGCGTTCGTTCGGCGTTCCAAGAATTCGGTTGAGGATGACGAGAACTTCCGTTGTTCCGCTTGACCGTCCACCCGTTGAAATTCCCCCGTCCCAAAAGAGGAAATTGATGAACACCTATCGGCATCGGGCTCATCCCTGATCCCCGTCCGTGAAGGCAAAAAAAAAAATTCTTCCATTAGTCTCTCCTGTCACCCCGAGCCGAATCCGAGACTCACGCTGAGATGTCCACATCCCGAGGGAACCGATGGAGGATTTATGATCATGACCCTTCGTGAGACCGAAACCGCGGGAATCGTGATGCATGTCCGCCATCTTCCACGGTGTTCACCGCTTGGAAAAAAAAGGGCGCAACCACCGATGGCTTAGTGACCGAGACGTCCGAGCATTCGCACATGGTCACCTCACGGGAACCCGCGACAATTATCCTCCTGCATACTGCATTAAGAACAGTCTATGCAAGTTTCCATAATGCTGGGGACCCGGCCGGCTTCCCATCCATCACTATGGCGACCCTTTTCCCCTCGCGAGCGATAATGGAGAAATACCGGGCATAACTGCAGTCCCCTCCGAGAAAAGGTGATCAGCTTTGTCGATAAGGAATTTCCCTTCCCCTCCCCCACGTCTGTCCCAGTCTCTTCGGGCGCCATTGTCTATGCAAGCAATGAGCAATGCGAGATTTGCATTGCGTCGGTTTCCGTCGATCGAGGAGGAAACGGCATTACCTCACGCGTGATCAAGCGCACGGCATTGAATGCAAATCGATTCGATGCAAAAGTATCACGAGAACGAAGAATTCACAATGCGATCGGTG